GATTTATTTCATTAAATCTTGTTATGCAATGAACTCTCGGCCGTTTTTGTTTGTGGGGGGGGGGAGAGGGATTGACAGTTAGTTGCTGTAAATAGAGTTACATATAATTTATATGTATAAGACTCCTTTCAAATTTCCCAAATGCAACAGAACAGATAGCCTAAAATTTACTATTTGTTATTATTAAAGTATGTAACTTAGGTGAAATTGTATGATTCCACGGAAATGTTGTTGTTGTTGTTGTTTTTTACATGTAATTGGATGGCTCTTTATCAAGCCCGTATATAACTACCGAAAATTTACAATGACTCCCTAACCCTCTCGCATATTAACGAGTAATCAAGTTGACTCATCACTATGTACTTTGTTATTTTCCTAGTGCAAAAATAGATAAACAAAGAGCTGTCTGCACACTGTCCATCGCGGAGAATTGAACCCCGTATTTTTGCGATGCTAGTCCTTAAACTTATCGCTGACTCACCAGAAACCTTTACTTTGAAGAATTTTTAATCATAATCTCTCTTGAACCTCTGTCACACACATACAAATAAATATCGTGTAAGGTTCTTTCTCGAATTGTGTATATTTATATTAGGCTTACGTTATTCTCACTTTCCAAAAATCATACAAAATCAAAAACAAACTTCTTGCTTAATCAATGTTTCTGTTAATCAAAACACTTTATCATCACTCAGTAGTGACAACCATTTTCGTAGTAATTTATAGTACACTATATTTTACGGTGGTATCTCAGGAAACTTTCTAAATTCATAAGTAAGGCGTTGAGTGTTTCTAGTTATTTGTCCTCTGTACTATAGAAGATGCTCGAATTGAGGGAGAACGGATGGAAATACCGATCCTCTTGTTAACAAAAAGAAGAAAAAAAACTGAAACTGTCTGATTTTAAGAATATGCATTAGAGAGCTTTCAAGAGTTAACCTTTTATAACTTGAGTGTTGGTTATAAATAGAAAATTGGTAAATGTCATATTCGACTTCTATAGTTGGAACGAATGGTAATGGAAACTATTTCTAGAACTGTAACATTTTACAACAATACAGGATCCTGTAGAACATTTTATCTGATGAGGCTAAGGAAAGCTAGAACAGCGTTGTATTTGGTTAATTAAAAGCATACGCTGAATATATACGATAAGTGTTCTATTTCATGATAGGAATTCGTTCATTCAGGCAACTTGATATGCTGTATTGGTCATAATTTACTTTCTATTTTACATAAATTAATGATAATAGGTAGTGTTGATAATAATAATGATGATAGTGAATACATGTCGACTTTTGTGTACATAATTAGAATTCGATATCTCAAGCTCCTTATGAGCTTGTGTGTGTTTGTGTTATTTGGTTTTATATTTTGTGATCTCGAAAGTCACTCCCCAGGATGTAATTTTAAAGAAAACTTTATTTTTTCTTTCTGTTATTTCTAGTACTATTTGTCACTGTTGCACAAACTAATCTTACTCAACTATGCTGTTACCGTTTTGTTCACGCACACATATTCTGCCTGTTTCTGTTGTAGATGCAGGAAAGTAATTTATTTAGTACATACACTACATCAGTATTGGCCGAAGGCACGTGTATCGTTTCTTATCTGTAGTACTGTGTGTTTTGAGTTACATTAGAAAATTCAATGAATGTTTTAAACTTATTTTTGTAAAGTATAGAACGCACTTTACGAGAGAGCATGGATTACTTACTGCCTCAGTGCTGAGTCCACGCGCGTACATATTAGGTCATCGATTACACCAGCATTGCCTCTTCTTTCGGCTTGCAATAACGGGATATGAGTTGGGACTACTCTCGTGGCTATCAAAACTAGCTTTTTTTAAAACTTTATAACGATTTTTTTCTGTCCAGTCTAATAGGCGTGAAAGCCGTGCACTATTTCAATGACTAAAGTTGAGCATATTAAGTGACTTACATAATATAAGGCTTTACAGAAATAATAAAAAGTAGTTTTTTACATACGTTGGATTGTTTAATTATGCAATTAGTATCATCTCAACTAATTTTCGAAAGACAGGATTTGAGTTGAATTTCGTTACTCACTTAAGGTAGTTTCACACGGACAATTTTGAATTATAAAACAAGAGGGAATCCTCAATAGCCGTGACACTTGAAATTATTTTAGGCAAAATTAAAGTAAATTAATCTTTTTTGCTTTTTATAAGCTCTATTTTTGTGCACCAGCAATACCAAGTGTGGGGCGGGCGCGAGAATATCCGATTCAATTTTATTACTCCTCAGGATCTTTACCAGCCTACCCTCAAATTCTTGTAGGCAGGATTTGGGCATGGTCAAATAATTAATGTAAAGGGGTTGACCTCCTGAGTCCAAAACTGTAATTTGATCTCAAATCGGTCAAGAGATGACGGAGCTACGAGCTAAAAGTTTGTACATGAAAAACTCAGAGCCATTCTATCAGCCACTATGCCTCGGCTTAAAGGGTGTACTAAGATAGAAGAGAAACTAGACTCTTTAATTATTTCGTTTCTTTGATTAAGAACCTTTTACCAAATAAAACAGTTACTGTTGCAAAATTTCATATACAGTGTACAGGGTTGAGTATGTTGTAGTAAAATAGTTTTGAATATGCAAATCAGCAAGTCACTTGTCAGATACATGCGATACAAAGTTGCGATGGAATGTCATGTATCAGAACTAAATTTTGATATTTTTTTCGCGTTTTGCCACCAAAAATTGAGGGCTTATAGGAAGGGTATATAACAGTCTTTTCCAACGCAAAATATTTATACATTCAGATCATAAAGATGTGTCCAGATTGGGGATGTAGGATCACCAAAACGAGGATATTCCTTGCACTTAGTGGCATTGGAAAACAAAGGAACATGGATCAACTTGGATAACCAAGATCATCCAGAAAGAGACCAGCAAACAATTCGTACTCCAGCTGTGGTAAGCAAAGTGCGGCGTTTTGAAACAGATGAGAATCCACGAACAGAAAGGACAGTGACAAAAGCCACAAACAACAACAGTACGACACAAGTCGCGTGTAAATAGTTACTTCCGTGACACCTCTGTTCAACTGTCACATACTTCAGGCAGCTGAAGAATGAAACGGGTATCCATGCATGCAATTCCATATAAAGATGTTGTACACAGTGTCTATTGAATTCCGTACAATCCTACTTACGAAACGGGCGCTTGGAAACCGTCATCATCGTACACTAGACGGTATATGGATCAAATGCTTTGGACGTGACAGCCTTAGGACGGAATCTTTTGTAATGAAAACTACTCTGCAGGGCTATTGCCAAACTGGTGTGTTGTTATTGTTTGTGGAATTTCGCGAAAGCTTCTTGACGGCTACCTGCGATAATCGTCCATAATTTTGAAGTGATAGATTAGAGGAAAGGCAGCTAGTAACCGCCAACTTGAGGGATACTCCCATCGAATAATAGAAATTAACCGTCACTCTTTTAACGCACCAACTCACCAAAAGTGCGAAACTCGTTTTTACTGACAGTAAAAAAGCGAGAACCTCGAAACCTCAGATCCATAGTTTGGCAAACAAACCAATGGGCTGCGCTCAGCCCTGTCTAGATGCACGGTAGTAAGGTATAAAATGACCGTACGTGGTAACATGGACTGTAACGATGTGGTGAGGCTCCAAAATCATTTTAATGTAACGTACTCAACCTCTGGAACAGTTGTAAATTATTTTTAAAATTATCATTTTACTGGTTTCGTAAATGTTCCTGTGCTACTCTCCAGGTTTATTAAACAGAAAACAAAGTATGCCATTACATGATACATTAAATTTCCTTAATTAGAATGACTAAAAACTGCAGCATACTTGCAGCACCCACAGTTCAAAATAATGCCTCCCACAATGAACTTGGTTTATATATTCACTGCCTAATACATCCACTAAACAGTTTGTTTATGATTACATTACATTAAACAAAACTTTAAAACGCTTAACAAAATAATCTTCATAGACTAAGTACTGTTGGGGTTTCTGAAAAGAACCAAAAAGGAGGAATTTAAAAATAGGGCAATTATGAGTTGTCTTGTTTCTTCCTGATAAATTAATGAAAAATACTTATTGGTTTATATGTATAGCTATTGTTAAAACTTCTAGCACGATACTCGTGTAAGTTTCTGTGTAAAATGTAAATTTTTCTCTCTTATCCCATATATATATACATATTTCTGTATATTAATAATTGATTATACTAGAATCACAAGTAGATTTTGAGTAAGTATAAAATAACTTTTTCCTCACTAAGGACTAAAATACAATTGTCAAGTTAAATATAACCGTTCTTACAAATAAGGCAAGTTAGTTTATTACATGAGAAATTATGTTCCTCTAATCTTTTAACTTTTTTTTTTACATTTAAGATTCTATAAATATTTTTTTGAAAGAATAACTTGTTCCTTTTGAAAAACACAAAGTACTATTAAATACTTCGTAGTTCTGTCAAAACATGCATTACATTAATTTTAACTGCAGTACATTTTGTAACAAGTATGCTTGTTTGTTTTGAATTTCGCGGTAAGCTACACGAGGGCTATCTGCGCTAGCCGTCCCTAATTTAGCAGTGTTAGACTAGAGGGAAGGCAGCTAGTCATCAACGCTTACCGCCAACTCTTGAGCTACTCTTTTACCAACGAATAGTGGGATTGACCGTCACATTATAACGCCCTATAACATTATAACACATTCGAACCCGCGACCCTCAGATTGCGAGTCGAGCGCCCTAACCACAGGGCCATTTAACAAGTAAAGGAATATTTAAGTTTTTACGTACAGAATGAATAATCTTATTTTATCTACTTTTGGCTAAATTAAAACATCTATTATATCATTGGGTAATGACAATCTTCCATACACGTAGACACATACAGACACACACATATCTCATTTATAATTGAATTGAAATAAATTACTTTGACTACTAGCATGATTAATACACACGACTGATTAATAAAATGTTCTTGTTTCTTTTATAGAGCAATGACAGTTGGCTTTCACAAGATGGTGACCAGGTAAGACTACATACAACCTTTTAGCAACGAAAAGCTTATTTTAATGTTAAATTCCACGTAATTTTGGCTCAGTTGTATCGTGGAATTTTTTAAAGTAACTGTACCTTAATTACTTAAAGTGAATAACGCTTATTAATTACAACACCGGAACCAAGTGCACTGCATGATTCGTGTGCTGTGTATAGAATTAGATAGAGAATACAAAGCTGATAAGGTACAGTGACAGGATTATACTGGTGAGTGAATAACAGAACCTATTGTGTTGAAGGGGAAATATAGAACAGATTGTAGCTTGAAAGGGAAACCAAGTTTAGGACGTTGAAAGAAAAAAAAAGAATGATCCAGACAGGTGTAATGAAGCGTGCAATCGAACAAAGATACCGACAAAAGCAGAACTGCTGTTTTGCTTGGTTATCCACTATTCACACTAATACGTGTTGTGGCTCACCCAGTGTATGGGCGACAGGATACAAGAAAGAAATTAAGATAATGTTGTTGAGCGATCTCGGGCTTTTACATTGATTAATCTTATGTTAAGCCATTAACGTAAGTGTTCATCTGAAGCCAAAAGTACAAAAGCTTTTGTAAAGTTCCAATAATAAACACATACAAGCATACAAATGTTTACAAAGATTCTATTCTTTCTTTTAGTTTTAATTTGTAGAAACTAAATCGGGCTACAGGCATATGTTGCTAAATTGATTTCTTGTTCACGATTTTAATTACCACAATTTTATAATTAATTACTTTCCATTGTTGCTAGCAGCTATTGTTTTTGTTGTAGTCGTACTCATTAATTACTTTCCATTGTTGCTAGCAGCTATTTTCTTTGTTCGTAGTGGTACTCATTAATTACTTTCCATTGTTGCTAGCAGCTATTGTTTTTGTTGTAGTGGTACTCATTAATTACTTTCCATTGTTGCTAGCAGCTATTGTCTTTGTTGTAGTGGTACTCATTAATTACTTTCCATTGTTGCTAGCAGCTATTGTCTTTGTTGTAGTGGTACTCATTAATTACTTTCCATTGTTGCTAGCAGCTATTGTTTTTGTTGTGGTGGTACTCATTAATTACTTTCCATTGTTGCTAGCAGCTATTGTTTTTGTTGTGGTGGTACTCAACTAAGCAAGTCTTAAGAGGGGGGTATTATTATCTATCTTTCTGTTTGCCGTCTTGTCTATTTGCTTATCTAGCTATCTTATCTAACACAGTACGTGTGTTTGTGAATTTTTATTCTCTGAAACGAAAAACATCGCATTTCATGATGAGAGTATGGAGACTGGAAAAGTACTTTTTTTCTCAAATGATCAATGGCCGTAGTTTCGTGGAATGTGATGATATTCTAAAATGAAATTAATAACTTCTTAATAAAATATTAAACTTCTCGCAAAGCCACTAGTGACTGGTCCTCCGGTGGGACAGCGGTAAGTCTACAGGCTTAACAACGTGGCTTTGCTCTATAAGGACCAATCAAACACTAGCGGCTGTTAGATGTTCAAATATGTTCAATGAACCATTTAAAAAGCAACGAGGGAGCAACACTCCAAAACAATGTACCTTTGGATCATTACAGCAAGTAAAATAATATGCTTTGTGGTAGCAAAGTAGCGGTAATGTAAACAAAAGTAACATGGTAGTTAAATATGAATGGAGCAACACTGTAAAACGAAAACGTACATTCGGAAGACGTTACAGCAAGTAAAATAAAGTAATGGTCACGAAAGATTAAGAAAATGACACAAATAATGTGCAATGAAGAAGCACGTAACTTTATAAATGGTAAATAGAATGAATTAATTGTTACATATTGGTCATTATATTCTTTTAAATGTCTGGTTTGTTTTTGTAAAAAATAAATAATTTTTGGAAAATATGAACAAACATGGAAATATAAATAAATAAACTTCAAAATAAGTTTATATATTTTGCCCAAATACTGAGGGTTAATCACACGTTAGGTCTGGTGCTTTCTTTGGAACTATTTCCTCCGTTGTTGATTCTGATCGGTGTGATCGTCATGAATACGTACTATTGGCCGAAACCGTAATTTCCTCCGAAACAAGCTTCTGGAAATGTTGGCCTGGCATGGCCAGGTGGTTAGGGCGCTCAACTCGCAATTTGAGGGTCGCGGGTTCGAATCCCCCGTCTGACCAAACATGCTCGCCCTTTCAGCCGTGGGGGCGTTATAATGTGATGGTCAATCCCATTATTCGTTGGTAAAAGAGTAGCCCAAGAGCTGGTGGTTGGTGATGACTGGCTGCCTTCCCTCTAGTCTTTCACTGCTAAATTAGGGACATCTAGCGCAGATAACCCTCGTGTACTTCTGCGCGAAATTCAAAACAAATAAACAAGGTTCTGGAAAGGATGGCAAGGTCAGCCTTAGATTATATATCTCGACAACGTTTCCACAGACCGCCCACTATACGTGAACGTCGGCTTTCAAATCCGTGTTTAACCAGAACGAAATACACAGAAGTCAGGTTGCAACTGGTTTGAATGACTTGACAGCCATGTTGTCGAACAGAATATCCGTGGTTTTAATTTTTCACCCATTTTTCTCATAAAACAGCCGTTGATTTTGAGTGTGGCTGAAAGTTTATGAATATTCGTTTAAATCCTTATTTATTGTGTTGTTAACGGTGCTAAGAGATATGCCTAGCTTCATCATAATGGCCTTGTGGATCGAAGGGATCTTTATCGTAACCATAGCCTTCATTTTGAGGATAAGTTTGTTGCTCCGGATTGGCTTGAGGTATGATAGCCTGTTGCTGTCCTAAACACATTGCTTTACGAGTTTTTTACACTTCTCTAACTCATTTAACAATCGATGGGCTTGACTTCTTGGAAAGGACTATGATATATCCCTTTAAGTGTATGGATGGTCTGGAATTCACCGTGCATCACGTCATCACACAGTATCAGCAGATTGTTTCTATACCTTCTATGTAACTTAAAACTTCTTATAGTTCTTATGTTATGTGTTAAGCCATATTGATATATTGTTTAAAATCTTCTTTTTGGCCTTTATTTAGGAGTTTGCTATTTTAGTATTCGGCTATAAATTACAGTCATGTAAGTTGAGAACAACGATGTTGTCAATGAGAAGGGAGATAATTTTAAAATGACAAACCTTGATAAAACATAAGTCGCAAAGAACGAATAAGGATTTATTGTTAACCGTACAAGATAATGGGGTTATTATACTTGGTATAAGTAGAAATCAATCTTTTGTCACTGCCAAGAAGATTAACAGTGCTATTTATTTTTATAATAGTGATTTTAAAATTAATCCAGCGAAGCGTATGTTGTATGATTAATCACTAAAACTGTGATGTTATTTGAAACACGTTTTGATAAATCGATGGAAGTAGCAACTTGCAAAGTAAATTTAATTTGCAAATTCAGAAGATGCCCAGTCTTGGGCTAGCGGTAAATTTACAGACTTACAATATAACCTATTATGTAGCTGTGCGTTAAAACAAACAAACATTCTCATAAATTTGTTCGATGTTCATTGTAACGAGCCATCTACAAAGATAAAAATTCAGTTGTTAGATTAATATCGTTGAGTAACGTATTGTTTAAGCAGCACAAAAGTCAAAGTTGGGTAAAAGGTAGGCCCATAGATGTAACATTCAATTATAGCAACACCTATTATTGTTGAAATTGTTATCGTTTTTAATACAATTAACTTTCATAAAGTATTTGCTGCATTATGCTCTCACGTATTATCCTAGCATTCTTTGGCTGCTCGCTTAAATTTTTAAACAGATATTGGCGATAAGAATGATTTATGCATAAGTTTTGTTTGTTTATTTTGAATTTCTCGCAAAGCTACACGAGAGCCATCTGCGCTGGTCATCCCTAATTTAGCAGTGTAAGACTAGTGGGAAGGAAGCTAGTCATCACCACCCACCGCCAACTCTTGGGCTACTCTTTTAGCAACGAATAGTGGGATTGACCGTCACTATATAACGCCCTCACGGCTGAAAGGGCGAGCATGTTTGGTAGGACGAAGATTTGAACCCGCGACCCTCAGATTGCGAGTCGAGCGACCTAACCACTTGGCCATGCTGAGCCTCATTATGCATAAGTGGCAAGTTCAATCAATACACATCAGCTGAGGTTAAAGAGCTGAACGCTTTATCTCTTTATATAGAATATAAAAAGTATTTTGGTTGATTTACAATATGCTTATCCAAAAATGCTGTAACACATACATGTGTTGGTCTAACAAACAGGATCAGATAAACGCCACATAATGGCAAATTGTAGATTCGATACATTTCGTTACAGCACATCTTTCTATCAACTGTGTATGGTTGTCACGTGACTTGCCGATTTGGATATTCAAAATCATTCTAATATAATGTACTCAACCATGTACTGTCACGGTTCTTGAATGTTGGGATTAAAGAGGAGCTTTTTCACCTGATACAAGACAACGTACTTAGCTCACCACTACTTGAGTACGACTCGTTGCAGGTCTCTTTCTAGATGGTCCTGGTGCCCTTAGTTTGTTGGAAATTCTAAATCCCCGATAATAAAACACCTTTATGATCCCACTATATGAAACATTGGCGTCGGAAATGGATGCTACATACAGTTCTAAAAAAAAAACGATACATTTTCAGTGGCATCATACTATACCTGAAGGTATGATTAGAAGATTCATGTGGGTGAACCCATACCCTGTTAATTTTGTTTCCCGAAGGAGTTTTTTTCTCGATAACGTTGCGTGTTCTTGCTTGGGGCAAGTAGACAGCTTTTGCTACTGACCTTTATGTTATTTTCAACCATTGCATATCTTAAGCAGCTGGAAAACGAAATGAGTGTTCATGCTATTCCATACGAAGACACATTGATCAAGCTGCTGGACGCAGCGCTTATAGATTTCTGTGAGATCGGATTATTGGAATGGACGCTAGTAACCGTCATCTCATACACTAGATAGATTATGGAAATTCAGTAGAGAAGAATGGCGGTCTTTAGATATAACAGC